CAGACAGACAGACAGACAGACAGACATGATGCCAGCCAGGAAAGGGAGCACCTTCTCCAAGGAAGGGTACGTTTGAGGTGGGTATTGTAAGATGAGTGGAAGTTCACTCAATGCAGAAGGGACAAGTGCATTTGAGCAGAAGCAAGCTGGGGTCTTGGTGAAGGAGCAAGGAAGGGCAGGGCGGCTGAAACAGGGATGGGGTAGATTCTTGGGATGTGAAGTGCTCCAGGAGGTACCTGGAGGCTCCTGGAGGTGGGCATAGGCTTGAGGACCTGGGAAGAGATCAAAAGAGGCCACTCATGGATGCAGCAGGTACCTGCCTAGCACTGAGCCCATTCTCAAGGGCCTGCCAGGCAGGGTTTCACTGTTGGCAAATGAGCTGGTTAGGGGAAGCCTCTGCCACCTGGACATGTGTGTGAGTAATTAGTATCTGTGTGTGGCGGGGGCAGGGGTTAAGTCTAGGTGTGTATGTGCATCTCTGCAAATGTGTGTCCCTGTAGGTGCATGCATATATGTGCACCTGTGTGTGTTCTTATGACATGTGCATGTATCTCGTGTGTGTGTGTGTGTGACTATGATTGTCACGTGTGTGTCTTTCTCTGAACATGCATGCTTCCATGTGAGTGTGTCTGTGCACGAGCGCTGTGTGTCTCTGAGTACGTCCGTGTGTGTGTGCCTGTCCCTGCTGTGTGTCTCGGTCTGTTGCTTAGTGGCCTGCGTGGCTGTGTGTGTGTCTGCTGTGAGTGCCTACCACACCCAGCCCTCAGGAGCCTGGGGTGCAGCCCAGCTGGTCTGTGTCCAGGGCAGCACCTGGGAGTGCACGTTCCACTCCTGCCCAGCCTTCAGAGGGAGCCCTGCCCCCACCCCTGGGCCTGTTTGATTCTGGCTTCTCTCTGTCTGCCCAGCTCCACCCACACATGACTGGTTCCCGACCCATCAAGGCCAGGGCAGCTTCAGCTGCCCCCAGACCAGTGATGCCAAAAGTTCAGCTTCTCTGTACACTGGTGCCAGATTAAATCTTAGAGACAGAGTTTTGGGTGAAGTAGAAAAGAGTAGCTTTATTGCTTTGCCAGGTAAAAGGGCTCACAGTAGGCTAACGCCCTGAAAACCATGTGTCCCAACTTGAGGATGATAGAAGTTTTACAATAATTGTTCAAACTGATCAGTTCATGGGTTGGTGAGGAGCTAAGTAGCAGTCAATATCATCAACCTTCAGGTCCAACTGGGCTGGGGTCTACAGGCTTGTGGGCAGTGTACCATCATTAATCATTAACTTCACCCACGTGGAGAGGGTTTTAGTATCTGCAAAGTAGCTCAAAGACACTGTTGCGTGTATCCACTGATGGAGAAACAGGACCTTGCCCCAAAGCTGCTCTTGACTGCTTGTTTCTACCTGGTCTCATACCCCTTCCCTTCCCTGATTAACAACTGCTTGAACTCAGGGAAGGTCATGGAGGCTGAATCAAGGCTGTTGATGGGAGACAGAGAAAGGCCTTATACCCAGGAGCTCCACAGGGCCCTGCATGGTATCACCACCCAAGAGGGGCCCAGGCACAGCAAAGGAGTCAGAGAGTGGCCAGCCCCCCGAAGGAGCTATACCCAGTCCCCACGGACCAACCTAGAGCTCCTTCCCCAGGAGAGAAGGACTTGTCAGGAAAACATGCGCAGACACTTGCCACACAGCCAGCACCCTTCTTCCTCCTTCTGGGGCCCTCCAGCTTCAGAGCTTGTTTCAGAGGGCAGCTGACAGTCCAAGGGAGTGTGAGCAGGAAGACCGGCCTGGGCAGCTCTTCGCCTGCCTGTGTGAGACTAGCAGCTTCCTTTAAGGGATCTACACCCTCACAGTCATTCCCACCACCACAGCAGGCAACACGTGACCCCGGCCTGGACGACTGCAGCACCCCAACCCCTCAGATGCGATTGCTGGCCTGTCTAACAAGCCTGAGCTACTTTGAGGTGGGGTTCTGTCACTTGCAGCCAAAGGGGCCCTGGACAATCCTTGCCTTAGTTGTGGGTCTGAGGGTGTACAGGTCCACCCTTGCCTGATGCTTCACACTCCACCGTCCCTCCATGGCTTTCTCAGATCCCAGGCAGGGGATGTGGCCACCTCTCCTCCTCTTCTCAAGCTCATACCTCCAGCAAGATTGCTGTGGATGGAAGGACCCAAGACCAATGAAAGAAAGTTCTTGGCCTGGGCATTGTGCTGCTGGCTTACGGGGCTCATTCAGACTCAAACAGAGGGGCCTGTCCAGTTTCTGGCCAGGTACACATGTTCACCAGAGAGCGATGGTTTCTGAGACTCCAGTGTGAATTAACAGACCCTGCGGTGCAAGCGTGCTGGCCACTTTGCAGCGCTGGCCATGGCTGCCCCCAGGGTGTGGACTCCTGCCTGGGAGCGTGTGAATTCACACACTCACCCACATCACGCTGCTGCACTGATGTGACTGTGGTCACGGCTGCTCTCCAGCCTGCAGCCCCTGCCCAGCTCTGCGTTTCATACCCTCTCTCCCAGGTGCCCAGAGCTCCTCACACCTTGTCTGCCCAGGGGCTGACCCAGGGCACCCTCTGGTCTGGCAGAGACCCGCCTCTGCCCCCCACATCTGAGGGCTCAACCAGCCCTGGCCCTGGGCATCTGTCCTCAGGGGAAACCAGCAGGGGCTGGATCCCAATCCATTCCGGAGGGTTGGTGGGGGATGATGTGACAGAAACTGGGGAGCGGGGTGGGGAAAGGGAACCGGGAGAGGAACAAGAAGAGAAGAGGTGGGGAGGGAAAGGGGGGTACGGTCCAAAGTGTGTGGAAAAAGAGGGGGAAGGAGAAGCGGGGGCTCTTGAGATTCTCCCAGACAGGATTCACTGAGCCCCCACTTTCATGGCAGAACACCAACCCGAGGGGAGCAAAGAATGACTGTGGGACAGGGGACACCTGACCCACTTCCACCACACTTGAGACTCCAGCCCCACCCCAACCAGATGCTTCCATCCCCCAGCCCCTCTCCAGGGTGACCCACAGACCACCACTCCCCCCCCCCACCTCCTGGATCTGTCTCTGCAGCTGCCCTGGACAGCCAGGGCGGTGGGGCAGGTGACTGATCCCCTCTGCAAGCTGCCCTCTGCCTCCTCAGGGGCCTTGCTCAACCACCCCAGCCACGGCTTGAGACCATTGGCAGGAATCTGCCAGGACTCTGCCTGAAGGACCGTTGGAATGGGCCAGATGGGTGAGCTTCAGCTCTCCTGACAGAGACAGGCCCAGGCAGCCTCAGGGAAGCCTGTTGGACTGACAGTGAAAGCTTGACCAGGGCCTGGCCAGGTGCCCACAGCCCCTGCCCCCACCCCACAGTCAGGCACTGAGTATTTAATTGTCATCCCTTTCCCAGTCTGAGTTCGACCCGAGGCACAGATCAAATGAATCCGTGATGACAAACCGTTTCTCTCAATGGACCAGATTCCACTGGCAAACACTCCGCTGGCTTTGCTGGCGGGGCCCTCCCATCCCCACCTCATTGAGCCTTCCTGGGTTCTGTGGCCTTATGAATTGGGTAAATATTAACAACAATAATACTCACGGCAACCGGTCTGTCACAATGCCACCACTAAGGAGACACTGATCAAGCTTCCCATGCGTCATCTCCATAATTCCATGCTGGCAGGAAACTGAGGTCTCAAGGGGATAAGCCACCTGCTCCTAGTGACAGTCAGGAAGTGCAAACCTGCATACCACACACTCTCCAGTCCAGCAGTAGTAGTAGTGGTGCCTGTCGCTCAGTCGTATCCGACTCTTTGCAACCCCACTGACTGTAACCTGCCAGGCTCCTCTATCGTGGGATTTTCCAGGCAAGAATACTAGGAGTGGGCTGCCATTCCCTTCTCTAGAGGATCTTCCCAACCCAGGGATCGAACCCAGATTACCTGCATTGCAGGCAGATTCTTCACCGTCTGAGCTACAGGGAAGACCCCAAATCCAGGTTCAAAACCCCTTCCCAAGGGATCTCTGTGTCCACCCTCAACTAGGTTCCTAAAAAGACCCCACAGCTTCTGCGTGAGACGTAAATGCTGAGGCAGGGTAGACTGTCCTCAGCCAGGCTAGCACAAGCCCCCTCAAGGCCACACCTGCAGGGCAAAGCAGAAGCCCAAGCAGTGAGCTACCTGGTGCCCTGTGGGATGGGTGGCCAGGGGGACTGTGGGGGTTCCCCAAAAGCAGGCAGCCAGGCCCAGGGGGCTGGGCTGCAAGTCAGACCTTCTTCCTGCTCTGGCACTTGGGAGGGGCTGCTATGAAGGGCACTGGTCCCAGGGTCCTCCTCTGGAATTCGACCTGAAAGGCCCTTCACATTCCCTCACTGAAGCTTGCAACATCCGGAAGAAATTCTAACGACTGTTTCTCCTCCTCCTCCTTTCCTTAAGGCTCTGGAGTCTTAAGGAAGGACCTGCTCACCCAAGCCTCAGGGGTTCAGGCTTCCTATCTCCAGTCTCTTACTGTACCTGGGGGCCTCCTGGCCTCCCTGAGGGCCTCCTAGCAGGAAGGAGCTCCCTAGGTGAAAGGCAAAAGAGCCTGCCTCTGGAACCAGGCAGGCCTCCTGGGTTTGCTTACTATGAGAGCTGACAGGCAGGAGTCAGGCACCTTCATTTCCTCCTTTGTGGAGTGGTAATAATAATAATAGCCTCTAGGACTGAGTCACTCACGCACGGGCCTCAAGTGTGCTTTGCATATTGCACTGCTTGATGAATGTTAGCTGTTATTTACTGGCCTGCAAAACGCTTGTGTCACTATTACGGGCATTTTTGAGGCCCTACTGTAAGTTTGGGGCTTCCCTGGTGGCTCAGACGGTAAAGAATCCGCCTGTAGTGTGGGAGACCTGGGTTCAATTCCCGGGTTGGGAAGATCTCCAGGAGGAGGGAATGGCAACCCACTCCAGTATTCTTGCCTAGAGAATCCCCATGGACAGAGGAGCCTGGAGAGCTAGTCTGTGGATTCACAGAGTCGGACAGGACTCAGCGACTAAGCACAGCACTGTAAGCTCAGGGATGGGACTTCAACGTAGAACAAGGCTAGAACAGGCCTGAGCAATAGCAGGACCCTCGGGGGGGTTTACCTTTTAGGGGGTTCTGGAAATCACCTAGGGGAATGCCCACCACCCGGGACCGACTGGGCCAAGAACACCCCAGGAATTCTTTGTCTTCATGCAGCCCACTCCCTAGGAGTCGCTGGGTGTGGCATACACAAACAGATTAATAAAGGCTTAGGGACAAAAAGGAGTTTGAAGTGAAATACTAGTTGACAAATGAAAAGGCAGGCTGGGCCAGCAGACAGGCCTTTTGGCGGTGAGGAGGGGTTCTCTGGGATTGGAAGGGCTCCAGAGATGGAGAAGGCCATTGTCCGCGGCAAAGAGAAGGCTTCAGAGCTGCGGCGTGGGCCGCTGTTCCCACTCGGGTAAGTCCCCACTCGGACAGTCCAGCGGCCTCCTGACCTCTGCTTGGGGTTCAGCTCTCTCCGCCCCAGTCCCTCTCCTCTGCGGATCCCACCTTAGATAGCGGGTTGCGGGGGTGGGTGGGGGGTCCTGCCTGGAAGGGGCCAGGGGAGAGAGGGCAGAGGGAAACAGACAGGAGGAAAGGAAGCCCTGTCTCTGCCTCCCCCACCCAGAAAAAGGCCGGACGGGGCTGGAGGGAAATGGCTGGGCCCCCGCGCCCCCGGAGAGATTGGAGGTGGGTGGGGTCCCGGTTCGCAAGCATCCAGAGGGGCCGGCGACCCCGGGGAAGCCCCCCCACGGGGGGGAAACCCCTGTCCCCGGTGGCGGGAGTGACCTTCGTGGGTTCCGATGTCCCGACTCGGCCACTCACGCTCCGGCCGAATGACTGTGGGCGGCTCCGCGCGCCGCCGGGGCTCGGGTGCCACCTCCGGAAAATGGGTCACTTACCACCCCGCCGTGCTGCGCCCCGAGGCCGCGGGGATGGAGGGCCGGGGGGGCGCCGAAGGGGTTAACGTACCTGGGCCGCCGCCTACCCTGCCGGCCCCTCCTCCGGCCGTGGGGAAGCGGAGAGCCTCGGCGGGGGCGCGGCCGGGCCCCCCCCCCCCCCCCCCCCCCCCCCCGCCCGCCCCAGTCCCTGTCCCGTTCCTCGTCCCCGCCCGCCCGCCGTCCCCGAGCCCGCGGCGCCCAGAGCTGCGATCCGCGCGCCCCGCTCCGCCGCCGCCGTGGCCCGGGCCGCCATGTCTCTGTGGTGAGTGGGGCCGTCGGGCCGGGGACCCGGGCTGCGGGCGCGGTGAGGGATGCCGCGGGTCGCTGGGGGCGCGGGCTGGCCTCCGTTTCCCGGGCGCAGCTGGGTTGGCGCGGCGATGGCTGGAGATGCCCGGCCGTACGCGACGCCTGGGCCGGCCGGTCGGCGACTGGAGGACCGCGGTGGACTCGTGCGCTCAGCCTTACCCTGTCGCCCGTATGCTCTCTTACGCTCTGGCCCCAAGGCACCCAGATCTCATTCCTGGACCCGCGGAGTTGGGGACCGCAAGGTCTCGCCGGTAGCTGGGTCCCGTCCCCGATTCCGAAGGCCTCCTGCGTCCTGGGCGACCGCTGTCCTCCACCCTCAACCCCGAGTGGCTCTCCTTCCTCTCCGGGAGCTGGGGCCTCCGGCCTGCCCACCGCTTCCCTTGCACTGGGGGGCTTTTTTTCCCCCACAAATGGAGTGGAAACAGCCTGGAGTGAAGGGGTATAGCCTCATGGCCCTCTTTGGGGTGACCCCCTCAGTCCAACCCAACAAACCAGGCCAGAGTACTCCCCTGTCCTCCTCCTGGGAGGATGGGGTCTGGGTCACACCCCACCCCAGCACCTGAGATGACCCAGCCTCCCTCCAACTCTATATCTTGGGAGCCCATGGGAAAATGTCTCTCCATTGTGCTCTGCATCACTCACCCTGGGTGCCTGCACCTTTCATCAGCCAGTCCTGAGGCCACCCCAGGCTGGACCACCTGGTCCCTGTCTCACCACTTTGCTGCCTGTCTCTCCCATCACCCTGAATCTCCCCTCTTGGCACCCTTCTGGCCTGGCCCTGTGAAACCACACTTTTCTGGCCTGCCCTTTTCCTGGAGTCCCCAGCTCTGCCTCTCCCCAGAAGAGAACATGGCAGGTGGCCTGGGTCTCCCCAGACTGTGAGCTGAGGAGAGAGGGTCCCTGGGCCCAGGGACTCAGGGCCCAAGGACTCAGGACCCTGGCCCTGCGAGCGCACCTAGAAAATAACTGATTTCTGCTTCCTAAAGGGGTGTAGTGGGGTTAACTTGGCATGAGGGACCCTGGAGAGTGGGGGTCCAACTGTGCTCCTCTCAAGGCAGCAGAGCTGGGGGAATTCAGCTCTCTTAGTGGGGCTCAGACTGGAGCTACAGGGACAGTGGGCTTGCTGGGAGATGTTCGCCCCATTTTCAGGCTTCTGTCAATGGTGAGAACTGTTCTTTTTTTTGTTGGGTCAGATGGATGGGGGGGTGGGAGGGGAGGGACAGGCTTCTTCAGGTTCTAGGTGAGAGCTTTCTCCCCAGTATCCCCTATACTTTTTGAACAGGTGTCATCTCTGCACCTCCCAGTGGTTTACCCCAGGGGTTCACCAGGTTTGCACAAAGCAAACAGGGTGCCTGAGGGAGAGATGGGGAGCAGGGCAGGTCAACCCCTTATAGAATCACAGCATTCCCCCAACTCCAAACCCACTCTGTGCCCAGCACTGCAGCTGACACGCCAGTTGCGTGCTATCCTCATTTTGAGAAAGAAAAAAAATCACAGCTTGGAGCGGTTAAGAGAAATCACAAAACGTCTCCATATAGCTTGTATTCAGTAAGTACATGCGTGTGTTAAGTAACTTCAGTCATGTCTGACTACTTGCGACCCTATGGACTGTAGCTCACCAGGCTCCTCTGTGCATGAGATTCTCCAGATAAGAATACTGGAGTGGGTTGCCATGCCCTCCTCCAGGGGATCTTCCCAACCCAGGGATCGAACCCACGTCTTCTGCGACTCCTGTATTGCAGGCGGATTTTTTTTACCACTGAGCCACGGGGTGGAGGGGTGGGGAGGCAATTTTCCCCATTCATAGCAGGACCAAAATCTGAACTCCAGGAGCCTGACTCCACAGCGCCTGTACTTAAGCTCTGTGTTATGTGGCTCCCTGGTCCTGGAGGAGGGAGGTCAGAATGGGAGAAGAAGCAAGACCCTCCTCTGACCACTCAGGGGCCCAGGGACTTGAGTCTGTGTACAGGGGCCATCTGCCCATCTGGGACTGCAGCTCTGTACAAGGGGACTGACTCATCCTTTCTTCTCTCTTCTGAACCATCCGCTCCCCACCTCACCCCTACCCCCAGGAAGAGAACCGTCTACAAGAGCGTGTGCCTGTCCCTGGCCTTGCTCGTGGCCGTAACGGTATTCCAGCGCAGTCTGACCCCTAGCCAGTTTCTGCAGGAGCCCCCGCCAGCCTCCCTCAAGCAACAGAAGGCCCAGAAACCCAGCGGACTCCTGGTGAACCCTGACAGCTTCTGGAAGAGCGCGAAGGAGGCAGTCACCCCAACTCCCGTGGTTTCACGGAGGCCCCAGGCCTGGGACGTGAACACCACTAACTGCTCGGCCAATGTAAACTTGACCCACCAACCCTGGTTTCAGGGCCTGGAGCCACACTTCCAGCAGTTTCTGTCCTATCGCCACTGCCGCTACTTTCCTATGCTTCTCAATCATCCAGAGAAGTGCAGTGGTGATGTGTACCTGCTGGTGGTCGTCAAGTCCATCATTGTGCAGCATGACCGCCGCGAGGCCATCCGCCAGACCTGGGGCCGCGAGCAGGAGTCGGCGGGCAGGGGCCGCGGTGCAGTGCGCACTCTCTTCCTGCTGGGCAAGGCCTCCAAGCCGGAGGAGCAGTCCCACTACCAGCAGCTGCTGGCCTACGAGGACCGCATCTACGGGGACATACTGCAATGGGACTTCCTTGACAGCTTCTTCAACCTGACCCTCAAGGAGATCCACTTCCTCAAGTGGCTCGACATCTACTGCCCTGATGTCCGCTTTGTCTTCAAGGGCGATGACGATGTCTTCGTCAACCCCACCAACCTGCTGGAATTTCTGGCCGACCGGCGGCCCCAGGAGGACCTGTTTGTGGGCGACGTTTTGCATCACGCCCGGCCCATCCGCCGGAAGGATAGCAAGTACTACATCCCCGGGATCTTATACAGTCAGAACAGTTACCCGCCCTACGCAGGTGGAGGGGGCTTCCTTATGGCCAGGGGACTGGCCCAGCGCCTACACCACAGCTGCGACACCCTGGAGCTTTACCCCATCGACGACGTCTTCCTGGGCATGTGCCTGGAGGTGCTGGGCGTGCGGCCCATGGCCCACGAGGGCTTCAAGACGTTCGGCATCTCCAGGAATCGCAACAGCCGCATGAACAAGGAGCCCTGCTTCTTCCGCTCCATGCTTGTCGTGCACAAGCTTCTGCCCACCGAGCTGCTGGCCATGTGGGAGCTGGTGCATGGCAACCTCACCTGTTCCCGCAAGCTCCAGGTGCTCTGACCTGGCCCGGGCCGTCAGGATTGACGAGGAACATGTGCTCCGGAGTGCCTGCGAGTCACGAGGCTGCAGCTGCAAGGCCAGGGCACCGCCTCTGGTCCCCTGCAGGGAGGTGGAGGGGTGGGCCTTACGTGCCCCTGGGTGTGGTGGGGTGCGGGTGACCGGGACTGAGGCCCGGCCACGTTCCAAATGGCCCAGACTGGAGACTGGTTCTCTGGCAGCCCTCCTAGCCTGGGTCTGTGGTCTGGCTCCCTCTAACCGGGCGGGAGGCACTGATGGCCTCTCAAGGAACCCTGTGCTCAGGTACCCGGGCTTGACCTGCCCTCGACGGGTCCAGGGCTGCCCTCTTGTCTTCACAGAGAGGATCCTCCAGCTTCTGTGAAATGCCTCAGTCTCCCCGTGGGCTGCTTGGGCAGCCCTTTCAGGAGAAAGCTCAACCCTGTGCAGGCTCACAGGCCTCCCCCCGTCAACGCCTCTGGGGGCTCCTGGAGACCGAGCCGCCCAAGGCCCTCAGCAACCCCCTGCCCCCCCGGGGCCCTGACCCTCCTGGGGTTTGACTGCACAGTCTCTGCTCCCAGGTGGCTTCACTCCTGGCTGCGTCCCGCGCTGCTCTGTCTGGCTCCCGTCTGTCCGGAAGCCAGAGCAGCGGCTCTGACTACCTCAGTGATCCTCAGAACCTCTGGATGGGCTGCAGCCCCACCTCACCGCACCCCAGCCCCCACTCCCCTGCCCCCAGACACAGGGCCAGAGAGCCGTGCTCCAGTCCCAGCAGTCCCAGTGCTGCTTCGCAAGGCCTGGCTCCCCCAGTCGGAAACCAGCTGGTCTGACCCTGGAAGGATATGCCTCCATTACTGTGAAGTTTTATTTATGAAGAATTCGGAGGGAGAAGGCGCCAGGCCTCGGAGGGTGGGGGTGGGGGGGGGGTGGTGTTCTTCCCTTCCCTTATTTCAGCAAGACATCGCCTGCCTCCGCCACTCTTGTCCCCTCAGCCCCGCCCCCACCCCAGGCACACACCCCCATGCCCATCACAGCTCCCCCCTCAGCCTCCAGAGCCATGCCCACCTGCATGCCTACTTCTCCAGGCCCTGAGCAGACCAGCATTGGCCCCTGTGAAGGGATGGAGTGACTTGGTGCCCACCCCACTCGGGTTCAGGGGTTCCTGGGGGATGGCTGCAGAAGATGTCACCTTGCATCAGGGTCAAGTCCCCTGGGAAAAGTGAGGGATTAACTCTTATTTTCTTAATAAAAGGGGACTGGTTTTTTTCTCCCCCTCCCCAGTGTGAAATTTCCTGTCGCCATTTCCAACAAGACACAGCTTGTTCCTTGTTATTGGCTGGTGGGTACACAAGGACCCTCTGAAGGGCCTCTTGATCTCCAGGAGGAAAGCAGAGGCCACATGGGCCCCTGGTTGGGGGGTGAGGTGCAAGAGAGACCTGCAGCTCAGAGAGCATTTTCTGGTGAGGGCCGGGCCAGAGCTGCCCCTGAGGCTGGGGTGACAGTGAGTGGGGTGGGGTGGGCGCCTGCCAGGGGCTAGTGGGCTTCCTGACATTGCTGCAGTCAGCCTTGAGCCTAGATCAGGTTGATAAGAAGCATTGAAACAGTGGGGTCCAGTGATGGGGGGACTGCACTGTACAGGGAACCTTGGCCAAAACTGCTTACCTCCAGGGTTAGGAGGGCAGTCAGCTCCAGGAGGAAGGACACTGGGGTACGGTGGGCAAGCCAGCAGCTCCCTGCCTGTGCTCAACGGGTCAGATGCCCTGAGAGAGTCACTTGCTTATTAATGTCCACACCAGGCCTCTTCCCCAAATGAGTGAGAGCAAGGGCTGGGTCCTAATATAAGGCACCATCTTTGAATGTTAAGAATGTCACCACCAAGGTGGCCCTTCTGAGGTGGGATCTGGTGACTGCACACATCACCAGCTCTCTTTGTCTTTCACTCACCTCTGAGCCTGGGGGCTGCAGACAGCAGGGTGGGGCTCTAGGGTCTCTGCCTTCCCAGAGCTCAGTCCAGCCAGGGCAAGAGCCATGGAGAGACAGCCAGGAGACAGAGGTGGAAGGGCCACTGGTCCCAGCGCACAGGTGGGGGCCCAGAGACAGCATTTGTGCTCAGAAATCACCTGAAGGATGCTGAGCAGGTGCGTGCTGAAGCAGATAGCTGCTCCTCAAGAGTGGGAGGATGAGTGATGGGGTGGGGGGAGCTGGGGTGTGAGAAGAGGATCTCAGGGCCTCCTGGGTTGCAGAGGGGTGTTCAAACTTGATCCTGAGAGGCAGGGACCGGGAGTGGGGCCCTGGGTGCGCACCCCTGCCTCTAGGCTCGCTCTGTCTCCAGCTGAGCCGCAGGGACTCGGTGGAAGCAGCAAGTTTCCAGCATGGGAACGCCCTCAGCCTCAGCCCCAGGGGGACCGTTGTGTCTGACCCCGTTTCAGACCTCAGAGGCCCAGGCTGAGCTTGCAGAGGGCTGGGAAAGGGGTGGGGCGCCAGCGTTAGCACAGCAGGAGGAAGGGCAGGGAACCCACCTGTGAGGGGGCCAGTGGAATATGACCCCCCAGCACAGGGTGGGGAGCAGGCTTCATCACCAGGCCTGCCAGTGCACCTGCGTCTTGAAGGAGTAGGGGCTTGCGTGTGGTGGAAGGGGAAGGAAGGACAGTCCAGACAGGGGGCCATGCAACAGCCCAGGAGTGCAAAAAAAGCAGGACATCAGAGCTGCCGGCTGCCCAGTGTGGACAGCGTTGGAGATGAGGCTGGATGGAGTGTCCTGGTGCTCCCTGCACCACAACATCTTGGCCAAAGGTGCTATTTAAGCTGACGGCTTGGCCATTCTCGGAGAGTTCCCGGGTATCCTTCATGCATACAGAAGGTATACATATCATTCTGTATGTTTTTCTCTTCTTAACCTGTCTTTTCTTATACAGAGAAGGGTCTCTGCCAAGAACCTAGAAGGCCAGAGGGGGAAATTATCTTTCCTCCCCATCAAATCCTACCTCTCCCTTTCAGAGCCCACTCAGTCCTTAATTGTCTGGAACCTCAAGGGCTTCCTTGATCCCGAGTGTGTGTCCGGGAAAAGTCTGAGCCACCTTCTGCAGTGGTTGCCTCTCATCCCACACGGTGACACCCTGGCACATGGGCCCCCACAGTCCTTGGACTCTGAAGCACTGTCTTCCTGACAGAGGCAGCAGCGGGGCCCAGTCACCCTCGCTTGCTCTTCTCCAAAGAGCAAAAGAAGCCAGCTAGGGGCGCTGGGTCCTGAGACTCAGTGAGTGACACGGAGTTCGGGGGGACCCTACAAATTCACTCAGGTTCTGTCACTGGGAAGCAATTTTCCAGGGCTGCTGGTAAATTTTAGGTAAATTTTAGTCAGTCCTCAATCAGATCCTGGGGAACAGGTTGGGGGGAAGGGGAAGTGGGTCTCAAACCCTCTCCTCCCCAAAGACCCCGAGCTTCAAAGGCAAGACGCTTCCGCCCTGCTGTCCTGCCTCCAGTCCTGCATTCCTAAGGGGCCTGCAGAAGAGGTAGCTTTGTCAGGCCACAGAAGGTCTCCTGCCAGGCAATGGGTGCTGCTTGGCCACATTTACATAACTAAAGGAGACCACTCAAAGAACTCTACCCTTAACAAAGAAAGCCTGTTCTGGGGAGACTCACTCTGTCCACCTCGGCTGAGAAGGAGCAGGGAGGGAAGCTTCTGTGGAACCAGTTATAGACGAAGACGACAGTCAAGTGAAGAAACGGAGGCTCCCCAGAGTAGGGTCCCACAGCGCCTGTGTGACCAAGCACTGTCTGAACTCAGTCTCTGCACCTAACCCCCCACCCTTTTGTCTTCCAGGAACCTCCTTATGTGTTTGTGGGGTTTTGCCTGACAGTCCCCAAAGTAGAAAAATGTAGTGTCCCAAGAGTGACTGGAAATTGGGTATTTGGGGTTTGAAGAAGCCCAGCAGGACTAGCACTGTAGGAAAACTTTATTTCCACATAGTTTAAAAAAAATATTGTGAAGACAAGCTTTTCTGTTTAGTGGAACACTATACATTGTCTAATACACAACCCCCAAGCTGTCTGCTTCTAGCCCAGTTCATGGTCTTGGAGCTATTCTGCACCTTTTTTAAAATCACAGAAAATAGGGGAGGGATAAATTGGGAGTTTTGGATTCATATACACACACTACTATATATAAAATAGGTAAACAACAAGCACCTACTATATAGCACAGGGAAGTACATTCAATATCTTGCAATAATCAATAATGGAAAAGAATCTGAGAGATTTATAATCAAAACTAAATCACTCGAGTGTACACCTGAAACTAACACAACTTTGTAAATCAACTGTTCTTCAATTTTAAATTTTTCTAAAATAAAAAAATTTTAAGAAGTATATTGTAAATATAATTTTTTTAAAAACACAGAAAGGGAGAGATTCCATCAACTTCTCTCCCCACTGTGGAAAAACCAGTTTTGCCTCCGTTAGCAATTCAATTCCTTCATTCCATACAAATCTGTGCTTTTAGACAAGTCTCCTGTGAACCACTTATAACATCAGCTTACCCTCTTACGAATAAAATAAATCTTTACCTCGTGTTAATTTTCATACCTGTAGGAGTTAGGAGTTTCCTTTTTCTAAAAGGTATCTTTTACCATCTTTTATATTAAAATGAACACAGACTCATTATGGTTTAGAATGCCATTTTTTGCATATATTTCTGATACCAAACTTGCATCTTGGAATAAATTTTACAACTTCAGGTGAGCCTAGAGCTCAATCCCTTCCGAAGGGGCTCAGCCCCGCTGCTCGTCTGCAAAGCCCTCACTCCCCGCGGAGCTTTGGGGGAAAAAATTGGCGTTCAGGCCCCAACCCAGGAGGGGTGCACCCGAACCTCGGAGGTGGGCGCTAGTCTAGGTGTTTCAAAACCCCGCCCAGGTGACTCCGGCCGACGCCCGGGCGGGGATTAACTGACCCTGCAGAGCAGCAGGTGATGGGTCAGGAATCTGCTCGCGCTTTGTTTTTCTCTGGTGTCGAATCTAACAAGAATGCCCGGAATTCCTGCCCTCGCCCCAGGCAGGACTGAGGGTGAGGGCGCCGGAGAGTGGTCAGCGCAACCCGAACCCAGAGGCCATCGCTGAACCACCTAGGCTTCGGTGGGGACCATCGCGCTCTGCCGTCGGAGGTGGGGAGGCCAAGGGAGGGTGGTGGTGGAATCCACAGGACCCCGGGGGTCTGGACTAGAGGTGGAGAGTGCGGCATCTCCTAGTGAGACCTGCCTGTTGGCCCGCGCCGCGATCGCAGCGAGGCTCGGGGCGCGGGGCGCTGGGCAGACCCCTCTGCGCCATCTCCGTAGCGGCGGCCCGGGCTAGGGCCCTTGAGAAGATCCAAGGGGCGGGGAGGGGCCGGAGGGTTGGAGTCATCCGCGGAGCCAGAACCATCCCAGGACAGGGCAGGGAGCGCCCCCAGCCGACCACGGTGGGCATAGTGACAAAGAGGAGGACGATTAGAGCTGTTACGTGAAATCGGTTAACTTGAAATCCTTGTACCCCAAGTTATCCGCTTGTATCCCTAAGGGCATGTATGCCTCAGAAATACCAGAAATCTCCATGCCAGACTATTTAATAAGAATTCTCTCCTTGTAATGGACTTCCCTGATAGCTAAACTGGTAAAGAATCCGCCTGCAATGCAGGAAACCAAGTTCAATTCTTGGGTGGGAAAGATCCGCTGGAGAAGGCATAGACTACCCACTCCGGTATTCTTGGGCTTCGCTTGTGGCTCAGCTGATAAAGAATCCGCCTGCAAAAAAAAAAAAAAAAGAATCCTCCTGCAATGTGGAAGACCGCGGTTCCATCCGTGGTTTGGGAAGATCCCCTGGAGAAGGGAAAGGCTACCCACTCCAGTATTCTGGCCTGGAGAATTCCATGGGGTCGCAAAGAGTCAG